GGGACTTACAACCAAAGCTGGAATTAGCGGCACGAAAATAAATGTCCAAACCAATTATTTTAAGCTGTTAAAACGTCCATGCTGGACCATTTTCCAGTACCGGGTTGATTTTGAACCTGAAGTCGACAACACACGTTACCGTCGTGGGTACCTTTACGAACATAAAAACATATTGGGTGGATACATTTTCGACGGAACTATTTTATTCTGCACAACTCAGTTCAACTTCAAGGAATTAGTGACAAAAAATCACGCAGGAGAGAACATTACCATCAAAATTAAGCATGTTGGTTTAGTTGAAGCAGCTGACAATCAACAATTCCAAGTGCTTAATCTTCTCTTACGAAAAGCAATGGAGAGTCTTAGTCTCCAGCTTGTATCCCGTAACTATTATGATGCTAAGGCGAAGGTACGTCACTTTGCACTAACAAAAATGAATTTAAATAATATACTTGCCATGTAACTATATATTTATGCCATTTTTATATGGATTTTCATATTGTTACAGCAGCAGTATTTATTGCTCTAATATGTAAATGTGAACCAAAAATCTTAATCTTAACGCCTCTCAATCTTAATCTTATGTGTACCTAGTTGAAATCTGCATGAATAGTAAAAAAAACCGGCATTCGAATCCTACCAAGCTGTAACATAATGGCTCCCTAACATAATGACTTTCCATCATCGTATGCATTGCTTTTTTTACTCGAATGTTATGATGAGGTCACCTTCGAAGTCTCGTCACCAACATTCTCCGCATTAAAGGATGCAAAAGCAAAGAAAATATAAATTTAATTTTGAAGAAAATTTTGAAAAATAATTTTGGATGCGAAACTTTGGTAAACATCTTTTTATTTTGACTCTAACTTTAAAAGTGTTTGAGGGTCAAAAAACGAACTAGATGTTATTAGTTATTGACAACTTGCAATAAGTTTTTTCTGCTGCTATTACTAATCTAAAAACATTGGCTCATTGCTGGCTGCTGCGACGGCAATTATTTTCAGTAGCGTAAGCAGCCTGTTCCTTTTGAACAGTTTAAAAAAATCAAATCAGGGAAAACACAAATTTCACAATTCTTATTATTATATTATTATTATAATGTTTGAAATATCTTTACAAATGAAAAATAACGACGGGCTAATGTTTAAAAGCTTTTAAATGTTGTTTTTTAATTTCTGCTAAAGATTAAACTTAATAATTACCGCGTGGAATTGTGGCCTGGATATCAAACATCGATTCGTCAACACGAGTCTGATATATTATTGTGTGCCGAGGTCGTTCATAAGGTAATGAGAACGGATACCTTGTATGACATCCTAAGTGAGGCGATTCGGGATACCGACAACTTTAAAGATGCTTTTCGACGCCAAGTAATGGGTGAGTTTTCCATATTTACATATGCATATATACATAAATTTGTGCATAACCCTGTGCGACCAATTAGATTAATGACTCGTATTTGCATTTGTTATACACAAAATATTAGTAGATGTGAAAAGGCAAGACTAAAAATGCGCAGTCGAAAACATTTACATAGTTCGTGGTCTGGCACCGATTGCTGCAAGACTCAATTCTCCGCGAGTTATCGCGCCACTGACAATCTATTACTCAGTATCAATAGGATCACTAGAAAAAGCTCAGGATTAAGTCGAGCTATTGGAACTCAAAAGGTATGACTGTAGGTTGTTTCTTAGGATAACTTAGGATAACATAACTAACTCTGCAGTCGTAACACTTACTAAAGCAATAGATATACTTTTTAGCAGGTACAACTTATTGATGGTTGTATATTTACGCATTTATTCTCTTCCCCAGGTATGATATGTCTTACTGATTACAACAATAAAACCTATCGCATCGATGATGTCGACTTTGGATTGAACCCCTTGTGTAAGTTTAACACTAAAGATGGAGATATATCGTATGTGGAATATTATAAAAAGGTAAGTTTTCATAAAGGTATTATTACATCGGTACAAAAATACACAAAATACATACAAATCAAGTTTAAGTGCACCTGGAGTTTCGCCCCTTGAGCACCTAGTTTTGTTACACTATTAATGTATGAGCAACGCAAATGTTCTTCCGTTTACAACCGAAAATCATGAAGATATTGAATCATAAAGAATGATCCTATATAAAAGAGCATCAAAACGCGATCAACAAAAATTGGAATGTACAATGTTAAGGCAAATAGCATTTAATCTTTTGTTTAATTTTAGAAATCATTTTACTGTTCTACTATTTCGATTTTTAGAGATATAATATCACAATTCGAGACCATAAGCAGCCATTGGTGGTGTCACGACCTACCGAGAAAAACATTCGTGGTGGCACGGATCAGCTTATTATGCTAGTTCCCGAATTGGCTCGAGCTACTGGAATGACTGATGCTATGCGAGCAAATTTTCAGTATGTCTTTTATTCTATTCAAAGTTTTTGTTGTTAATATTTCTAATATCAAAATTGGTTCGTTACTCTTAAATTAGATTAATGAAAGCAATGAGCGAGTTTACCAGATTGAATCCGGACCGTCGCATTGAACGCCTGCGCGCATTCAACAAGCGCTTGCAATCGTCGAAAGAGAGCATGGATGTGTTAAAATCGTGGAATATTGAACTTGATACAGCTTTGGTGGACATCCCAGCTCGCGTTTTATTTCCTGAGAAAATAGTTTTTGGCAATCAAAAGCGATTCGTATGCGATAACCGTGCTGATTGGACTATGGAATTCCGAAACAACTCAATGTACTCGCATGTGGACATTAAGAGGTGGTATGTGATAACTCCACAGCGTAATTTACGGGAGACTGAGGAGTTTGTAAAGCTCTGCATTCGTGCTGCCAGTGGGATGAAAATGACTATTTCCGAGCCTCGATAGTATGTATTATTTAAAACTATATAATATTATAGATAGAAATACATTTAGTCTTGTATTTCATTGCAGTGATAAAATAGCCGATGATCGCAATGGGACATACTCACAATCGATCGATAATGCAGTAGCGAAAGATCCGCAAATTATAATGCTAGTGCTTAAGGCTCCAAACGAAGAGAAGTATGGGTAAAGTAAGTTTGTAAAAAGTGGATTCTTATTAGTTTACATCATCAACAGGTATAGCTGTATTAAAAAACGCACTTGTGTTGATCGACCAGTACCATCACAAGTGGTCACTCTGAAAACCATTGCTCCAAGAAAAGAAAAATCAGCTGGTCTCATGTCCATAGCCACAAAAGTGGTTATTCAGATGAACGCCAAACTGATGGGCGCTCCATGGATGATAGAGTTACCTCTTCGCGGATTAATGACTGTTGGCTTTGACGTGTGTCATTCGTCGAAGAACAAAAACAAGTCGTACGGTGCACTTGTGGCTACGATGGACATGAAATCATCGAACCGCTACTTTTCTTCAGTAAACGAACACATGAAAGGCCAAGAGCTGTCGGATCAGATGTCAATGAATATGACATATGCCCTAAAAGCGTTCCGGGAACATCACGGTATTTTACCAGAGAGAATTCTGTTCTTCCGTGATGGTGTGGGTGATGGACAACTTCATCAGGTCGTTAACACTGAAGTGAAGTTTTTAAAAACTAAACTCGATGAGATTTATAAATCTGCAGGCAAAGAAGACGGCTGTCGAATGGCATTTATTGTTGTCGCTAAGCGAATCAATACTCGGTACTTTACCAACAATCGAAATCCCGTGCCTGGTACTGTAGTCGATGATGTCATAACGCTTCCTGAGCGGTATGACTTCTTTTTGGTGTCGCAAGCTGTGCGTCAGGGAACGGTATCGCCAACTAACTACAATGTTATACATGATAACATAGGACTAAGTGCCGATAAACTGCAAATGTTGTCTTACAAAATGACCCATATGTATTATAATTTTTCTGGAACCTGTCGCGTGCCTGCTGTATGTCAATACGCTCACAAATTGGCATTTCTTATAGCCGAAAGTATTAACAGATCCCCATCATCTGGGTTAGAAAATCAGCTATACTTCCTATAAAAGCTTTGTCAAAAATGTAATTTAAGTGTTGGACAAATATAATTAAAAACTGATTTCTCTAAATACTTTGTATTCCATTTATTTTATTTAATCGGCGCATGGCTGATAATGGCAGATTTACCAAAGGATCTGGTGCAGAAGTCACCTGCATTAACTGCCACAGGTATAGATTACTGTGGACCCCTCTACTACAAGACAGATGTACGCAACAAGGCCCGACAGAAGTGCTACATAGCCGTATTTATTTGATTCGCCTCGAAGACAGCATGGCTAGACCTGCTGAAGGATCTGAGGGTTGCATTCTTGGACGCCCTCAAACGTTTCACGGCCATAAGAGTTGCCCAAGCATATGGTCGCCACTTCGGTGGCGCAAGCATCGAGCTGGATGAGCTGAAGCCCCTTCATTTTGGATCCAGAAGCACAAGGACAAGGTTCAAGCGCATTGGCTGGATTCTATTGGTGTTTTATCCCACCTAGTTCCACGGACTGTGGGCGGACTTTTGAATCCGCTGTCGAAATGACTAAGCGGCTCCTGTATAGTTCAGTCGTGTCGGGCCCCCTTGGCTTCGATGAGCTTCGGAACTTGGTATGCCAATTACATGAAATAATCAATTCGCGTCCTTTTTCAACCCTAAAAGAAAATCCAAATGATCGTGGCGTCCTTACTCCGGATCGCCTACTCGCTGGCCTTATGCCGCTCTGATAGGCGCACTCCTATTGATCTAACGCTCGCTGTCTAATCAATGATTATGCTGTGCTGTACGAGTGTAGCCCAACTAGTAGTAGCGAGTAGAATGTTGAGAGCAAACGAGTGCGGGGCAGTATAATCCAACCACACTAGCAACAGTTATATATATAAATATATGTTTTAATCTCTTGCTATCGTCAAGAATTAAGCATTTCGACTTATTTTTGTCGGTTTTTATTGAAGAGCTGGGAAAAGCCCGACAGCTCACAATATAATAAATACTGAAACACTTAGCTATAATCCATATAGAAATATAACATATAATTTTAATAACTCACTCTTATTTAGCGTTTACTAATTGTCTTACATAATATATAATTTCTTAGAGGCCGAACACATTGAATACCTTTTAAACCTTAACACTAAATTTCCAAATAGGGTTAAATTTATAATGGGCCAAATGGTATTTTTTCTAATGGAAAGCCAGGGTTTTGTTGGTGTTTTTGATAGGCCTACAAACAAAAATTGGTTATAGCAAAAAATATTTAATAATTTATATTCATAGGCTTACCATGCTCTTTTCACGACGTTCTTTATGCGAATTTAAGGGAGATTTGATTTTAAGCATTAGTTTTCTTCTTCTCCTAAAGAAATTACAGTCTTGACAGTTAGTGGTTCACATTTATCGTTCGAGACCTAAATTAAAATAAATAATAAATAAAAATATGTACATATTATAAAATGTATGGATGAGTTTAAAATATACTATAAATGGTAAAAATAAAATAACTAGACTTGGGGTTTAAAAAATTGAATATTGTATATGAATATTGGAATGGAATTGTATATCTTTGCATTGTGTAGTACAGAACGAAACATACTTGACGCCTCAAACTATATGTATGTATATTACATATGAATATACGAGTATGTGCCTGATATGAATATATCATAATAGTAGATTTAATTTGACCTTTGTATTAACTATTACCAAAAATAAACCATTTATGCAGAAATGATTGCTTTTTAAAATTGTCTCTATCGCCGTGGGATATTAATGAGAATTTATAAACCTCAATGTCTTTCGATAACCGGAGCTTGGGAATTGCCCTTAGTTTGAGAAAGATCCTTTGTGATATTTTTAGAAAAAATGTATTCATTTGAGTCAGTTGACTTTGATCAGACATAAATGGCTGTTGATCCTGAGAAATATGATATGTAACAAATGTTTGTGATCGGGAGGTCCTAGCTGCTACATAAAAACAGAACTGATATACTTTTGTATTCTACGACAGAAAAAGTATTAATCCAATGTCTAAATTGTTGAATGAATTATAATTTAATTAAAAATACATGTATTAACGGACTATTCGAAGTTTTTGATTTTTAAATATATGTATGTATGTATGAATCGACTTTAATTTAGTGTAGTGTAATTTAAATCTGGTCTGCAAATTCTTTATTTAAACAGATTATAATACTGAAGTCATTATTCTGACTTTTTGTTGCCTGTTTTATTGACCGAGCCCAGAATCAGTCGAAAAGACATCTGGAAAAAATGTTAAGATTAATTAATTTGAAAACAAGCTTATCATTCTTTGTTACGTCTACGATCTAACTGGACTGGTCGAACTAGCTAGCCGAGGTCGACGAACGGGTCGCAGGCTGTGGTAGTTAATGGTGTACCTTGGTGAGTCAAGTGCGAATAACTCAGTAGTCTCAGCGGCAGAAAACAAGACGGCAAAACCGACGCGACTCTATGGCGAAGAAGTGAAAGCTCTGACGTCTCGGAAACCGAGAGGGTAGTGGTGGATGGGGAATCTGCAGATGTCCTGCGGCTTCTCCAAATCAATTAAGAATCCCATCCGAAAGATTCTGCAATCTATTCTATTCTTCGTTTTCCGTTTTTTTGTATCTTCACCAAACAAAATTTAGAGTAGAATCTCACAAATTAAAACTCTAACAAATTTGAACGTCCAGCAATTAGAACCGGCAATTTTAATGTATTGAACACTCTGAAATCGGGAATTTTTTGCGAAGGCGAAAATCGGAGCCCAACCGATGATGTCATTCCCAAAGCGAAAGGTATTGCAACCAGCTGTTTTAATTAATTTAAATGTAACATACAAATTTAAGAATGAAACAATATCGATAGAATACCGGAACACACAAATTCCTATTCATACAAACATTTTTAAAATCGGAATCGCAAGTCGCAGCGAATGAATTGATTGTGTTATTATTCAACATATCAATCGGAAAAGAATTTTCGACACCCCACCACAAATGCAGCCAATAAATTTAAGGCTCAAGAAATTTCACACAAACGTTTTCGATATTCAAATCAGTTGCTTTGCCCATATACATGAACATAGGTATACATATGCAGGCTTTGTGTGCACTCACAGCGAGTGTTTGAAAAAACGTCGGTGCATATAATCATTGAAATATATGGGAATTACTCATTTTACTATAATGTATATTGTCTTTGATGATACTATACATATAAAGATGACTTTCCATTTTTATTCATTCCATTTCACACTCTTTCACTCTCTACATATTGCTAATTATTTTCACTATATCTTCAACAATCACATTTTTTTTACAACTAAAATTGTCTTTTTTCTTAAAGTAATTTTTTTATGTGGTCCAAATAATAGTAGTGTTACAGATAATTTAAACATTTTTAAATCTCTTCCATTTTTTGCAAGCTTTTTGGTGTTAAATATTACTTGAGTTGTTTATTTAAGTCTCACGGTTTTTTAGCTATCCTTTACCTGACCTTTTGGTCATTTGGTGCCTGGATCATGGGGTGTGGCAAATACTCTAATCCCGAAAAACGTGAACAAGTTAAAGGGTTCAATTTAGAAGAAAATGAATTTCAAAATATACCAAAATATCATTGGTTGTTTAGCTACTATAATCAGAATTGCCATTATATAAGAGCCATAACAATAAAAGACGTAGTCACAAGTTCCAATGAAACATTGGAAAAGTTGAGGATTTGTTTGTTTAAAACTATGTTTTAAGAATCACGGCTATACGATTTTTCCACAAAAAATACATGAAAATTGTAGAATACGGCCGATCTTCAAGGATGGTTCGAGTAAGTTTCTACTCCGAAATTTTTGCATATGTTAAAAACATAATGGATCATTTATATTGCCAATTGCCAATTGCCAATTAAGAATTTATGGTGTTATATAAAATAAAGCAGTCTTATAAATAAAAAAAACATTGTTTTGGGTTGCTGTATAAAAATCCTCGAGCTAGATTTCTGTAGAAAGGTTGCAAAACTGGGTTAGCTTCCTGAGATTTGAGCAGTCGTTACAGTAAATAAGGGCTACTCAACCAAATATTAAAATTAATGTCAAATATGAATTTATTATAATGGTTATAAATAAAGGAGCCTCAGTCGCTTTTGTACAAATGCACTACTATTATTTTGACCGGGTAATTTTTGAAGTATTTCCACATTTTAATTTGTTTCAGTAAATATTGATGATATTGATCTGAAGTTTTTTTCTATTAATACAATCTGTAATTAACGTAGCTGCTAAAAATATTAAGAATCTTTTGTGGAAGTGCTTGCAAGTCCTTTTACTTCAGCTGTATATACACGCACAGGTTTTTATAAATACATTTTTTAGTGCTTAGTTTTCACAAGAACAATATATATAGAAGAAAATCTAGCTTGAGAAAATTTGAACATTTGAAGTTTAGCTTCAAGAAACCGAACCTTCACAGAGCCCAAACAAATGTACAGTTTAAACTGCTTGATAGTACTGTTGAAAATTTGTTGAATAATTATGTCGAACTTAATATTATTACAACTCCAAGTTGTACAGCTTGTGACAGTTATATGCTTAAGTATGCACGTGTACGTCAAATGCAAATGCATCAATTGCAGCGAAAACAAAACACTAATACTAATAATAGGTGTGCTACATTTGTTACCTTGCACACTAATTGGAGTGTTGGTAAACGATAGGAGAGTAAAGAGTGAAGCTATGCAAGCAAATTAAAATTGAATTTTAGTTCCCCTTTCCAGCCACTTTGTCCCACTGTGCGAAATTGATATTTTCTAAACAATAAATTGCCTCCACCTCTGTCAACAATTTTAGCCTTTTCTGAAGCATTTCCACAATTATTAATATTAAGCCTAGTGATATGATAAAACTTATCGAAGAACAACATGGTTAGCTTTTATTTTTATAAATTGTTTTCTTATAAGTCTGTAAAAGCCGTCTTAAGGTTTTAAAAATCTCGGCAGTTCAGTATGTTATGTATTCAAGTCCAAGACTTTTACTATAAGGCTAAATTAAAGTATATAATACTATCTACAAAAATTACATATAAATAAAGCGACATCACAATTAGTTAACAAATCATTAATCAAATCACGTAACTACAATTTTTTGTATATAATAAATATAATACATATTTTGTTAACCTAATTATATAAATTATATATATTGCATATCGATATATATATATATATATGTTATTGCTAGGGTAATTTCACTAACAAGAAGAATAGCTACTACTAGGAATACGATGGCAGCGAATATTACTTTAAAATCCATCTCATAAATTTGATGACGTAATCCTGGAATATTACAATTACAAACAAAACATATTGATTTATTTGTATATAAACGTTTAACGGAATTATGTAATGAAAACAAACATAATTTCACGCAACACAGTTTTTTTTTTGTGTGTAGCCTTAAAACTACATCATACCAGGGCTTCCCTCATAGTCCAAAGCACTACACTAACATTATCTGTTTTATTCAATTTTCTTAAAATTATACCAAAACTTATTCTTATGGGGTCCTTATAGTTCTTTTAAAAATGAAATTCAAATTATATATTCTATAGCCCTTCATAAATCTATTCAGCAACCTAAACGCAAATGATATCGCAACAAAACTCGGAATCGGATCAAAGCAGATAGAAATATGATTCATATGTCGTTAATTTTGTATACCTATATAAGATCCGCTTGGGCATGCAAGTAGTAGTGCTAGCGAGCCTTTTGAAAGACTTGTTTTCTCACTTGCCCTCACTTTCTCCTCACGGAGATTTCGGACGTTGCTTGAGGTTATCTACTAGAGTCAGTCATGTTAACAGTCAGCAATAACGACGTGCACAGTATCAAAACGATTCATGTATATACTTAACGCTGCCAATTCCACCACAATGTGTTCAAATCTTATCGATTCAAAAGTATTCAGATCACTAAATAAAATTGTGGCGAGTACTGCGCATCTTGAATCCCGATGTGGACGTGTTGTTTATACATTTACATATTTTGTACGTACAATTAGCTTCGCCATTCCACACACAATCATATTAGTGCCATGAAGAAGGCAAACTAACTATGGCGCTGACATAGAGATGTGGGTCTAGGCTTTATTTATAAAACTGTAATTTTCAGGTCTCAGGCTCTAAAAATGTTCCTTTTGGTCCAAGTAACCCACTCAAAAATTATAGCCCGACTCGACAACTTTTAGCAGGCATCTCTGACCGGATTGACCGCTCTGACAGAATTAATACAGCTTTGCGAGCTGTTTATTCTATGCAGGATTATATTCAAATACTGACCAAAGAAAAAAGTTTAGTATGAAAATTGGAAACTTAACTGCTTATTGTTGGCCTGTATATTATTTAATTGTCGTGGATGGATTATATCTTAATATTCGAAAACATAAACAAGGAACTATTTTATCCTTAACAAAAGGGAAGAGAATTACCCAAAATACGACACCTCATTATATGCTAGTGAAAGGATCTCCAATGCAGTGATCACACATTTACATGTTTTACAGTGCACTTGAGTGCGTAGACATATCACATACCTAGTTCCAAAACATGCGATTTTGACCGACCACTGATCTAGGCACATAATACAGCCTATGCAAAGTTTAATGAGTCCGTTACAATCATTTTGCAGTCTAAATATATGGGCGAGTGCTCGGAGCATATGCATATACATACATAATTTTGTAAATCCACTTGTGTTTAAAAACCTAATGTTTCTGAATAAATATCCCAAAAGATAAAACTAAAATGAAGCTCAATTATCCTGAAAGGAAGAACATTGGTTTTAAATGTGAATTCCGCCGTTCGTTTCCATTATTTTTTCCATGACTGTATGTACTTAATTTTCAAAAAAGGTGTGATGAAATAAATATTACATATGTAATGAAAACAAAAAATCGAAGAGCAAACGTTGCGCTTTGACACAACTCGATTTCATTTATAGACAATGACTATAGACTGTAAAGTCAAACTACAGACTGGTAAAGGAAAACTAAGCGTTTCTGAACAACAAATTTTCTGCGTACTAGCAATTTCTATCTACAGACATTCGAGTTTTATAGATACGATGACTCTGTATGTGGTCAAGACATAAAACTTACGCTGATAAAGAGCACGGCAGCGGCAAAGGAACGATTGCATAACACTCCAACATCCCTCAAAATTTAACAAGAGTCAAGAATATTAAAGCTGATTTGAATATATCCCTTTAATTGTTGTAGAAACAACCTAGTGTCTACATTTTAAATATATGAAATACATATACGTATATCCACATTATTTATGGTGGACTAAGCACCGAACAAATTATAAACTCCAATATGGAAATAAATTAAAAATTATGCCGAACCTATCCACAGCTTCTTAACGTTTATATATAGAAAAATTATTAATGGGGAAAAACTTACCTTTTTGTTTGGAGATGTTGGAACTTGGAGATGATATTTGTTTTGACAATAGTCTCGTAACAATGCGATGCCCTCCGCACGATTGTTTGCGTAGCGCGACTCCCAGGCATCTAACAGACGGTTGTAGTATCGTGGGGTATCATTGTATTTTAGGTACTTATGAGTTTGATCAGTTGGGAAGATACGTTCTAGGGGTGCGCATCGTGCCAACTCATCTTCCGCAATGATGAGACATCGTACATCATCAGGAGTTAATTTATGCAGAATTGCGTCTATGTACTGTTAAAAAATGTTACATTTTGAAAATGTATGCTAACATGGAAGCCGCAAGTTAATCCTTACCTCATTCCTATCGTCCATCGACTTTCGTGTGAATGTGTTATGCTTTTCCTTCTCTTCGCGAGATAAATAGTTTATGTAGAGTCGCTTATCGTAACACATTGGTGTGCCACTTGGAAAAGAGAGTTCGGCAGCTAGCTCTTTTTGCTTCTCTTGAGTCAGTTTTGGAGGCACCTACAATGTTTAGTTAGAGGAATGCAGATTTAAAAAAGTCCATTTTATAGCTTACGTTATACAGTGCCGTGTTTAGCACACCTTGTACAAGGGGGGCCTTGACATGGGAGTCCAATGGCAATTCAGAGTGTAAACTTGGAGATATATTAACTTCTAATAGCCACGGAACTAAATCTGAGTCCAAAATTACATCAAAGCCAAACAGCTCAAAGCAGCTGTATTTTGATTCAACGTTTGCTCTAATCATACTATTTATACCATTCTCGCCAGCTAGAATGGTCCGCAGAACTAAACTTCTCAAGGCTTCCCACAGACAGTCCGTTCGGACCCCTCGGTTAGCTAAATATGTCCACAGAGACTTTATGGTCCATTTATGACCATGGCAGGCATTTACATCTTCATTTTTTGAGTAATTAGAAGAGAACTTGTTGATGCTATAATTTGTCAAATGCATGCACCTATCGCCTAAAGTGTCTGCCCTGGAACTGTACTTTACTGTGGATACGAAAATCATCAAATCAAATATACATACTCCTCAAGGGGTTTGTGGAAGGTACATACCTGAAGCGAATCGAGCCAGGCCGTTGTGATACATGAAAACTCTCAACGGGTTTACGGATGTAACGAGCACATACAGACGCAAGTCAAATTTGCTACCATTAATAAGTAGTGGACGCTCTATATATCTATAAGACAGCAAAAATAACCATTAACTAAATATACAATTTATATGCATTGTTTGGCATACTTTTGCACGATAAGTGGTCTTCGCTTTGGGATCTGTCCCCATCTATTAATCACGCGAATACCAGCCCCTCGCGCACTGGCCGGTGGCTTGATAATCCACTTAGTATTGCGCTGTGAGTATTTTGGCCAATGCCGGCGTAATGCACATAGATCGTTGGGGATAATGTATGTTCGTGGCATGAAGCCAAACTCTTTGTTGCTGTGCTTGGTCATCTGCCTTTGCAAATTTTTCCAGCAGGAATCCTTTCTTCCTATGCGAAAGGAGCCTGGCAGGTGGTTTATTTTCTGATATGAACGGATGGTCTTGAAACAAGGCGACCTTAAATGCTTGCCCCACACTCCCATCCAATCGTTGGTTTCTGTGAATTTCTTGATTAATTTTAATTTGATTATAATGAAGTACAAATATAACTTACTCTTTAACATTCGCATTCCGCTGTTGGCTAGAATCAGGCGCACAACTTTAGGCATTATGTTGGTAACCCGCCACTTGAGCACTCTATGGAGCTCCGGCGGAACCCTTGGACCCTTTGTTGTGTTCGATGAGAAGGACAAATACGGTGGTACGTAGGGAAATAAACTGGGTACCAAGAGCGAGTCTGGATTCTTAAGGTCAGATTCAGAAGACTGATCCGACAACAAACTTGGTGTGCTTTGGGGTGATGTAAATCTATCCACGGAATGCGTAAGCTTATAAGCATGGGCCCGGTAGCCATCTTCAGCGTCGGAGATCAAGCTTTCAGTGTCACTTTCGTCGAAATTTGAAACTAAAAATTTAACATTGAATAGAGAAATCGTATTAAAGGAAGTAACTTTGAATACTCTTACTATTGTCCAAGTCGTCGTCATCGTCGAAATCAGGATTCCGATCGGAGTCTACATGACTTCGAAAGACTTCATCTTTGGATTCAGGATCAACTAATAGAACTGTGGGAAACTCGTCTTCGGCTCCCAGTGACTTGGAGATTTGGTTTTTCGCGTTTAAATTTCGATGTGTCGCGAACTGTTGCTTGCGCCCCATTCGCGGACTTTGGGTACTGTACAACAAGACTTTGTGAACCGTGGTCAATGACTTTTTAACGGAAGATGTGGTTCCTTTGGTTTTTTTTTGATTCACAGGCAAACGTGGCGGCTTCTGATCTAAAGGTTTTTCCGTACTTTCATTGTTGTTATTAGCTGAATCAGCTCGCTTATTCTCAGACAATCTAAAGCGACGATGTTTAGGATCGAATTGAGTTTCTACAATAGCCTCAGAGTCATATAAATCTTTTATATCCAGATATTCTTCTCCAGTCTTCTTCAGCAAAGATTCAGGATAATCTACAGCTTCTGCCCAGCCATTGTCGCTATAATCGACAGACAAATAATTACTGGGTAATTTTTCCTTTAGCACGTGTTTTTCGAATGGCGAATTACGACCAACGTTCTTTGATGGTTCTCTTTGACCGGCAGTGGTCGCATTAACATCCCGAGGGTCTCGTCGACCTGGGGAGTTTTGAAATTCAGTCATTGGCAGTTTTCGGTTACTTGTGACTGACGGAAGATTCGACACTGTTTTAGTTCCACGGTTATAAAAATATGAAAAATAGTGTTCGTAGTGCTGGCTTGTCGTATGATACGGCGTAGGTGCTTCTGATCTGCAATATATATAGAAAAGAAAGTGTTATTAATTTTACAAAATTAATATATGTATATTTGAGAATTTTGCAAGTATCATACAGTATATGTATAAGGAAGAGTATACATGTCATATGTATATGTGGTTTTAATGTTTGTAAATGTGTATGCATTCAAGAGGTTTACTTTTACTCGAACATATTTCTTGTTTTGGTTTTTTCAGACGTATTTTAAGTGGACATTTCCCAACGAAATACTACTGTGTGCGTGTATTAGAGGAATGTAATTACAAGCAGGACAATAACAGAAAATGAATTTCAAAATTACAGTATAGATTCCCATGTTGGTTCTGGCGATGGAGAATTCTGGACGTTATCTCTATCTGGGATATTTTCCAGATAATCAGTTCTACGAGTTGTTCTTGCTTTCCAGTTCTTTTGTTCCTGTTCCGCGAAAATATCTGTTTTTAGCACCCTTGGCTCATCGTTGCCGGCGATATAGTCACGCATGTTGTGCTGTGTACCATTTAAATATTCTTCTGCTTGACGAACTGGCTGGTAGATGTATCCTCGACTCTTGTTTGATAACGCCACACCGATATTACTTCGTTGATCGGCAGCACAGCACGCAGAATCGAGGCCCCAATGGCCAGGTGCCTGACGGTAGTTCGATCTAGATATATTCTTGAGAACGGCCTCCTTTGTAGATTCTTGATTTGATGGCAGATTTTGATTTTGCCGGCTCCAGCTGGCACCACTTACGTTTGCGTTATTGTAATAATTAAATGTATTGTCCACACTACTGTAATGTGGTACTGATTTTTCTTTCTTGGTACTTTTGTTGTTATTTGAATTTGTCAAGTAATAATCGCTTTTGTTATGCATGTCGAATTGTAGTCATATAGTTATGAGGCGAAAGAAAACGTGTACATAACCACGTAGGAGCAATAGTCTGTCCTTTGATGCCGTAAATCAATACATGTATGTTTTATGCGCATATTTTTTTCCCCTAAAATTAATTAATGTGAATGATTTATTGGAACATATATAGATATTTTTTTGGTTTAAAGATATCTAAGAATTAAATAATGTAATAACATCGCCAATAATCTCATCAATGTACAATTAGCACAAATGAATGTACACCAAAATTTAAATGTACGTTAATTGATAATTTTGGTTACCATTAAGTCTCGAAGTCATCGATTCCATACTATAAACAGGTCAAATATACAAAAACTTACTTGATTGCAAATATGTGACCTTATCTTTTGCTGTGTGCCACCGTGTGGAAGAACTTTGATAGACACCGCGCTTTTGCTTGCTGTGGTAATTCTTTTAGGCACTCCACTCATCTATATACATGTGTATGTATATAGGTCAATAGCATATATTTTAAACAAGGTTGCAGATCCAACCTAAAAACACGAGGATACAAAATTAGAACGGTAATCTGAGAATTGAATGTAAACTTACCTAAATTATATTATTCGACACTAAAGAAAAGTCTGTAGGAAATTGTAACTAATTTTCAATATTTTTGTTTAATAAATGCTCTGTAAGTAACGTTTTTTTCCAAAATTCTATAAATCAAAAACTCCGCACACTATGAAAAAAAAAATTGAACTAATGAATTAGGAAGAGGTGGGAAAAAATCGATAGGGCTATCCATACTATCGATGGTTGAAAAATGAGCCGACCGTCGATTGTTTCGGTTCACCATCGATAGTATCGAGCGGGAAAATTGAACATTGATATTGTATACATATATTTTTCTGAAACATATTGATGAACTTTTATACAGGAGGAGTTCAAAAGGAATGGGGAAGATTTTTAAGCGCAAAATTGTTCAGCTAATCAAATAATTATGGCTCTTGTGAGGTGCTTTTGTACACACATAATATATGCATGTATGTTCATAAGTGTTGGTGTACTGAATGGCGTATGTATTTCCATGTATTTTCTGAGCGGAAAACTGTTTTTAAACTCTAGCTAGGTAATTAATATTAATATATAAATTTTATATGAATATTTCATTCATATTTTAATAATTTTGTCGAATTTTTTATTTATACCCTTTTCCCACACAGCTCAGGGGAACGGTAGGAACAGATGTGAAACCTCGATTCCCACTGGCATTGTTCACCATCACCAAAGAGCTGCTGATGAGTATAGAATATCAAAGTTTCGGTTATAACAGCCATATAGCCGAGTTAATAAAGCTAGGGGTGTTTTAGCGTTCATCAAGTTTTGGTCCAAGGCGTTTGACAACAATACATCAGATGGACTTTGCGATTCCTTCAAGACCTATCCGTACTTTTCGCCTTATGTGCTTATCCTTATGTGGGTCAACTACGCCCAGCATGAACTTTTTAGGATTAGGTGCCAAAATTATAATTCCCTTTGCTTTGCTCTTTTCCATCCGCATCTCTTAGCGCATGTTATCGCTTGCTTGCTTCTGCCTTGCGGTTTTACTTTCTTTATCGGCCTTTCTCGACTTTCGTCATCTTTCCAATCGGAAAAGCAGAAGACACATCTACACCGATCGTCATCGCAAGCACAAGTTCCGGCGTCTGGCACAGTGGCTGTCTTCATAACATTACAAATCGAAATAAAACAAGTAAAGCACTATATCGAAATCTTTTTGTTGCTATTTGTGACTATGTGAATCAATCGAGTTACGCCTCTGAAGAAGCTCAGTGGCTCAACATTTACCACCACCTGAATTTAGCATGTTTGTAAATTTGTTTCTTTCTTCCTCTTCTTCTTTTTAACTAGCGCGCTAAAGCTTTTCTCCCGGATGTATATTGGTCGAGTCCTTGGCTTCTTTTTGGTACCTTCTCCAGCTTCTGTAAGCTGATCGTTCGCTTATCAACCAGCAACGGAAACAGGTTTATGTTGTTTGGGGTCACATTTGCTATGTGATTTGAGCTTCCACAGTTTATTTTTAAGTTAGTGAACTGTAACATTTGAAGGTTGATTTTTCTCTTGATTTGAATGTTTCAATTCAGTCCGGTCTGACTAGCCAGGACAGCTTTGTTCTGGTTCTTTTGCTTGCCTTGTTATTGCCGGAATTGAAACCGGAATGAACACTTATTCGATGATTTTTCGCTTGCGTTGCAGAAGTTGGGAATGCAGTGGACTGTTTGTGACGAAGAACGTTGCGGTTAATGTTGTTGCTGCGATGGCAGTAGTTAAGGGGGTCATTGTACTTCTTGTTGCTAGCAAGCGACACTTACAATCCATGACGTTTAAGAAACAGTAGGCAGAGAGGGATGGCAAGAAAGTGCTCTTCGGCCTTCGGTGGTCAGGTGAGCAGACTTGCTCATCGATAATTTAGTTATCTTATAAAAATGTTTCAAGGTCAAGAAAAATTAAGTGACACATCTTTACGATTTGAAAATGGAAAACAATATTTTTTATTTGCATCCAAAATGAGTTTTTATAAATTTTCTTCTATTGCTATGTTCCCCAGGCATTGATATCCCATTTAAAGAATTGAATGATTTAAAAGGAGAAATGCTGATTTCCGTATCTAAGGAGTAAAGTTGTTCTTATTATAAATATATATAAAAATCGAGGTTTGAAAATATTATCTTACCAATGCTGGGATCCGACCAATCCATTGCCATATTATGGAGTATAGCTAGAGCAGTAATTGTTTGCTTTGCTGAACCGAACGATCCAAATACTTCACTGCCGAGAATACCAAATCGAAACATCAATATATTAAGGCATTTTCTTGCAGACGCATATGTAATCGAATGGGCATGGTTATAAAGCTCTTCCGCTAGACTTTGTGGAAGCTTCACAGGAGTGAAGAGGCAAGAAGAACAAGAAAACGATTCGTTTCCCAATAGTATACGCCCACGAAATTCGTTTTGTTCGAACCGCTCCTTTATTTTTGATAAAGAGAACATTTTTGTATCGGTGATTAGAGAAACTTCTTCTACCAGTCGTATATCCAAGTCTCTTATTTTATGGTCCGCATCACAAACAAGTTGCATATGAACAACCTCTCTGGCGTTCTCTTGGGATTGCCTTACATCATGAACTCGAGGATCTTTTGATTGAAATCTTACTCTTGTCTGTAAGAGTGTACCAATCACTTGCGGCATATTTGCCAATTCTTGGAACGAACGCATCATTCTTTCCTTTTCGGAAAGTGTTGCAGGCATTCTTATGTAGCGCGATGCTTTCGATGATAACACCGAAGCAATGCGTCGAGTGATTTTTTTCAACGTTCTTAAGCTTACACCATGCGCCATTGCCGTCAATTTGGGATGCTGTTGAAAAAAAAATGCATATATAGGTCATATATTATACAACTAGCCTGTTACAAGTTATAATTCGACTTATGTATTAAGAAGCTAGTTTTAATGTAATGTAAACAAGTTTGGAGGGCGCTGTTGAAATGGTGTTTCAAATTGCTGATTTCATTTCAAGTCACTTCCTACCAATTTAAGCTGAAGACTTGCAAAGGGAATAAAAAAAGATTTGCGGACATTTGGAAGCGCTCCAGATTGATAAGGGGGGTGCTTTTTAGCCCACCACTGGTCATGCTGTGCTGCTGTGAGAGAAATAATTGGACAATTCGTGGACATTAATATGACGTCCATCAATAAGAATTTCATTGAGCCCTTCGTGTTAACAAATGTGGGTTTATAGTGGATTGGGAGCGGAAAAGGTCGTGCAAAGGGTGCTACGGAGTACATCTAATAAGTTATCGAAATATTCCTTTCAGTAGCAGTACTATAATAGTCTGGTCCAACTTGGAAAAATCTGTTGTAGTCAGATTAAAATAAGATTAATTTGATGGATTAAGATGTGAATAGTTTCCAGGACACAAAGTATGGGAATGCTTGACCCATTCGGATATGGGTCCAATACATTGGATGCTTTAATTGCTTACATACGTATGTCTGTTTGTATGTACACATCTTCAGGTATACATACCTCAGTTCCACCCCAAAATCGAATCGCAGATAAAATTTGCAGGTCTATAGGTACTTGCTCTCTTTCCATTGGTTCATAACAATCAATCTCGAGGTCATCCCGAACAATCTCAATAATACGGCGAATGTTTTCCTTGGTGTACCGATATTTTTGTCGGAATTGGTGTTCGTTTAGATGAAATAGCGGGTTAAATCGTTTATGCTGTTTCCTACTTGTACAGTTAACCGTTCTTTTAATTATATCTGGCGAGAACGGAAATCTTCGAAAGTTTTCGACATATTGAAAGTCTCTTAAAGACCGTTCAAATGATTCTATATCTTTCATTTTTTCTGTCTCCACTTTTCGAAGTTTAATTTTAGGGGGTCCTTCATTCAGTGTGACCGTGGACTTATTAATAAAATGCAGTCGTCTAACCATCAGAAATATACCAAAACATACTTCAACTTTTTTTTTATATACCGTCACAGTATGAAACACCAACGTTCCAAAACGTTCCATTTTCGTTTTGCAATTCGGTCCGTTTTGACAAACTTTTTCATCGGAATTTTATAACTACGGAATCATTTTGGAAACCTCGCACATCCGCTATATTATCATGTCAAATAGTCCACTTTGGGTCTATTATTTAATGGTTACAAAATACTAATAATAAAAAAGTATCTAGTATGTATATTTAAATAGGAATGGGAATAAACGAGAGCATTTCGAAAAATCAAAACCTGACGGACTATCCCAAAAATTAATGGTGGATAGTGGTCAGTGTGAATAGGATTATATGTAAGGCAAGGCGGGAGCCTGAGAAATAAAGAGGCAGATGAAATAAAGACTATAAAACAACGGTTGTGTTTTAATAAATTGTTAAAATGGTGTAGAAGTTACTTACTTGAAATCATCAAAATGTATTCTAATGAGTGTTCGTTGACAGAAATCGACTGTGCAAATTTGCCAAAAAAATGCCAGAAGTGCAAGAGTAAAGTTCTTATGTCTGATCACGAAAGGAAAAACGTGGAAACTAAACAAATATTCCTATGGCCTGCTGGTTGGTTTACAGAGCCGAATGCTTTACTGAAGTCGAGGGAAATCTGCAAGTCTATAAGATTCCTGGCAAGCCTTTAATGATTACAGAGATAAGCAATAATACATTTGTTGTATTTGATCGTCGCCTTATAAATCCATGCTGAGCTGGAGATATAAGTGATTTGCAGAGATGTTGCAAGTGGGATAGACTGCAGTACCTGTAGGAAAACAGAACATTCTTTACCACGAAACAATTTCTTGGCTTACCAAGTAAAGCGCCGCTCCTAGCCAAAGTTAAACAAAGCGTTGAACTGTGGTTCAAACTCAAGAGTTTTCTCGTTCCCACAAGTCACTGTTCTGACTCCCTTATACCACTTAAGGACTTTAAACTCACATACAACCGGGTTGTCTGCGAAAACACGGGCTCCTTCAGTAGTCCAGCTCTTAGAATATTTGATTCCGCCGTCAGCCAGTCGACGTCCGAGATCTTCACCTCCGGAGGACCGGGGACGATGTTGGATGCCTGCAGCGTCGTTCTAGGGCTGGCCACACTTTGGGTTCACCCTTTTCAACTTGGAAGCTTTTGTGGAGTCATCCGTTCTCTGCAGCTTGAAACTTGGATGCCGGCCAGTCGGTTCCACTGGTTTTGTCCAGAAGGCCGCTATTCGCGTCTGAGGTGTGGTCTTCCCTCTCTGCTTGTCGGTGTCAATTTGTCTTCCTTCCGCTTTCGCAGACGACGACGCTGAGCGTTTTCCCACCGTCGCGCTCATGCCAGTTACTGCTGGCGATGAAGTTGCACGTTGATCCTTCGCTGCAGTCATAACAGCTGCGCTCTGGGGGGTAGTCTCCGCCTGCATGGGTGGCTAGTTGCAGCTATTACTACCTCAGTACGTTGTACTCGTGCTTTTTCTTTAGGATCATTTCTCTCGCGGGGTAGATGGCTAAGTCGCCGAATGAACTGAGGCAGGTGGTACACCTGAAGGTCCCCGGATGTTAAGATCCGTGACTTCTAGATCTTCTGTGGCATCTCATTGATCCCAAAGCGAGAAAAGACACTAGCCAACTCTACCTCCGATACTGAGGGACCAATAAAGCCGAAGCTTCCGCATCTGGTTCCCGGTCCCAGAACCTATAAAGCCTCTTTCTGTTTGTGGCATTCTACGAGTTATCAGACAAGCAATCCACTACCTCGGGTTGCCTGTTGCAGTCACAGGATATCGACGCCGAGGGGCATGCCCTACCTTCTGCTGTACTAGACTCATCTCAGCTATCTATATGTTTTTCAAGAAATACCTTTAACGACGACGAATTATTAATTCGTTAAACATCAATTTTGTAAATGAAACATATGACAACATTTTTTGAAAACACCAGCACCTAGAAACGTTAATGAGCCGTTTTGGCTAAAAACGCAGAAGTGAGTGCGTGATAGTTGTGGTTTGGTTATAGTATAGTGTATACTGAAACATATTATTTTCTGTATAATTTACAAAAAAAATTTAAAGATTTTATATTACTTTATTTATCACTTAAAACTATGACAAAAACACGTGCATTTGAATGATTAGCTGGTTTAATTGGTTTAATTACTCTGATTATAATCACATATATTGGCCGTACAATAAACGAAAAATAAAATAAGGGTTAGCTAAGAGTTTCATAGACAACAATTTTTCTAAACAGAGCTTTGTCACGCAATTGTCCTGAAAATGTACCCTTTCCCACGTCTATGTACTTTATATATATTGTATCTTTTTTAATTCTCCGGTTATTCGTTAAGGTAAAACCATTAAGTCTGGTCATAAAATAGTAAAAAAAAATAATTTCAAACATTTTTAGTGAAATTAAAACAGTGACGATGTAAAAACGAGGTGGAACGTTGTGAGTCACTGCTAAGTTTTCTTCAAAATTGTGGACGCCACACATTTTCGTTCTTTGTGTGGGCGGTAGAGGGCGGGGACAATTTTTGCAACAAACTTGATTCAGTGAGTATAAATACAGAAATTTCGTTTCTCTGGCTCTTATAGTCTTTAAAAACTAGGCGTCAAACAAGACGGACAGACGGATGGACGGACAGGCGAACAAACAGACATAGCTCAATTGACTCGGCTATTGAGGCTGATCAAGAATTTATACTTTATGAAGTAGGAAACGTTTCCTCCTGAGCGTTACACACATGCATTTTTACCACAAATCTAATATACCGCTAAACTCTTTTTGAGTATCAGCTTACAAAATTTAGTAAATTAACAGATCGAAAGGGATTTTGAATTGAATTTGAGTTTGAATTATGGAGCCGGAGCACGAAACAAAATTATAAAGGCCGGACCTTAAAGATTTAAGAAGACTATTGAGACCGACTCAACAGGAGCACCAATTTTTCCGTTTTCAAAAATAAATAGGAATATTTTTGCGGAAGTGAAAACCGGGGCATGCGTGAATGTACATATGTGTCTATGCTTATCCATTTGGGATGTGCGTTGATGGGTCGCTTGGACAAAAACAGATTTTTTTATACATATACATACGTATGTATGTTCATATGAATAAATTTGTATGCTTTCTATCTTACAGTATGACTGTTGAATACATCAATTATTGACAATATACGTGCGGCTGACATAGGTTTCAAGAAATGATACAAAAGTCCTACAGTTATTGGAGATGGCCGAAAGCAATAGTAAACTATATTAAGGTATACTTTCAAAAGTGTTGCATACATGGATTCAAATATGTTGTCGAAAAAATGTTTACTTTTCTGGAGAGGTAAGTATCGCGGCTTTTCGCCTTAACGAAATCCTTGTTCGATTTCCTTTTTGTAAACTAATGCTCAAATGGTTGTATTAAATCAGACCTTATATTAAATCAATTTAGAGGGTTACCGGTTGACGCTGTAGCAAAGGCCTTAATTCCACATCGGCTACAAGACACAAGGGTATATTAGTTTTGTGTACAGCGTCCAGAAGGAAGCCTTTATTATTTATTATTCGCCAACAGAATCAAAATAGGCTTTAACTGGCTAGACTAACTTATTTCTATGTTAAATAATAGAAAGGCTTTCTGAATGGACTTCACGAGCCTATTGCACCGTTGTTCAATGTTTATTTCCGGATTGAGGAATAAAAATAGAGAGTTACTTTTCAAAATGCAGACAGACTTTATTTTTTGCAGAGACTATATGTGTTATTCCAATCAACGACAATTCAATGTTCGGCCTACATGATCAGCCCTTTTGTTACAATATGTACATCAGTGTGATGGTAACCTTTGATTCTTGTTTATTTTTTAGATTCCTGTGGCTTATTTTGTTGGTGGTTTCTATATATTTCTGTATTGTGGTCTGCCTATCTTCTATCGATCGATACTACACCAAGAGTACACACATCGGATTAGAAGTAAAACCATACATATGTACTTTAAACTATGAAAAAATGATACATATTTTGTATTTTTCAAACCTTTAGCGAAACTACCACTTTTGGAATACTACGATACCAAGTTTAACAGTATGCCCAATGCAACGAATTAACGAAAGTTTATTCAGTGACTACTGTCGGTAATTGTTAATATAATTTTTTTTATTTTAAAATTTACATTTTGGTTACCGAATTTCAGGAAAAATGGCATTAAAGGACAATACAAAGAGGAATTTTGGGGATTCATTGAAAATTTGGCAAATTCTACATACAAAAATTTTCAAAACATTCCGGAAAGCGAGTATATAGACAAATTACTTAATGTTCTCGGTATTAAACCAGCTTTATACATGGAGCTAATTTATAATCTTACCTATGATAGCTCTTATGAGCCTGTGGAAAAGCAACGAACCCGTAGTATCGATGGACAGATTAATATTCATGTACGACAAGTTCTCACGGAATACGGCTTGTGCTACTTAGGTAACTCAAAGCTGGGGGAAGAGTACAGCTCGCGTTACTTGATATTTGGAGTTTATCCTGAAGTTAACAAATATGAACAAAGCCGAAGATTACTAAAAGCGCAGATCGGCTCGTTTTTTGAAAAGGATGTTGGATTCACTTTATTGGGCTTTAGTAGCGAAGCTATAGATGTATGTTCATATGTATAACGCGATCACTGGTAATGAATAAACTGTTTTATTTTTTTTCTTTGTATTATAGAGCTATATTCATTCAGCTTTTGAGGTAATGAAAGTAGATAATAATTTTGGGTACACTGAAGAAGGTGTTGTTTATGATCCCGAAAGCGAAGAGATAATTGCTGAGGAAAACCTTGAGAAGCAAGTCTTTGAACCTGTTTATTAATTGTTTAATTTATTAATTTTTCTTTTTTATAGAGAAGCTACCATTGGACAAAGAAAATGTCGTTTCTATCACGAATCCAATCTGACCCATTTTCCATTCTATACTAGAAATATTTGTCAACAAGAGTGTCGAATTAATCTTGCTTACAAAATTTGTAAATGTATTCCTCACTTTTATCCAAACCGTAGTAAGCAATAAAATATCTCTACAACATTGCATACAGTTGAACTTCCAAAGAAAACATTTGACATATGGAGTCTTCGACATACAGAGTTTGACGTAATGTGCTTCCTAAACGCTGGTGCCATCCGTTGTAGATTGAAATATACGGAAGTTCAACTGTATAAGTAAGAAAATACATACTATGTCAAAGCCTTTTTGTTATTTCAGTTGCAGAACCTAAGCCGGTGTGTAATTATAAAATTCTTAAATCGTGTTTCCCAAAACATGCAAGTGAGTATAAATATTTTTGATTTATATGTTTAAAATATTCAAAAACAATTCGTTAGCTGAGATGTATGTACGTCTGTTTCTATGCAAATAAGCTATCTCAACGAAAGTGATATAAAGAACAAGCAAGAAATTTACAATAGCGTCGGGCTGCCGAGGGTTACAAGAATATGCTTAAAGCTGTAACCAAAACTACTATAATTTTCTAACAGGACTCAACGAAATCTTTATTTTATTGGTATAGCAGCAGCATATGATGAGTAATGTAAGTTATTAGTTATTAGACATTTTGCATTGAATTGACTTTATAGTCGCTTTGCTCCCAACAAATATGTATTAACCACATCTTGTGCTAAATAAGTGCAGGCGACAGTTTTCTGCAGTGTTTTTTTCTATTTTCATTAAACTATTCTAACGTGTCCAGGTTAAGAGAGTTCAGGAATTTTAATTAGTTTTCTCTTTGTTCGGGAACTGACGTTATAAAAGACAAGCAAATGTTGTACAACGGCAAGACTCCGTGAAACGTAAAGTGATTTGCAAGAGATCTTTTGATTTCTTTGAAACTATGGGATATAATAGTCTTAGGTAAGATTGTTAAAATCTAGGCGCTTATATGTCCAGACGAACAGACAGACATGGGTCAATCGAATCGGCTATTGATGCTGATCAAGAATATATATACTTTATGAAGTCGGAAACGTTTCCTCCTGGGCATTACACACATCCACTCTCCCCACAAAACTAATATACCATTAAACTCTTTTTGAGTATCGGGTATAATTAAAGCTCCAGCTTTCAGCTTCCCTAAGAAGGGGTAATGAAAGTTAGCTGGGAGAACATAAATTAATTCCATTTGAGACCAAAAAAATATAAGTCAGGTAATTCACTCCGTAACAAATCAAAGTTAAGGTAAATAAAAATAATAAATTATTTTAAAAACACTAGTTTAAGTCACGGATTTTAGATAGACTAAAGAAAATATAATATACTATAGTATATACATAGTTAAGTTAGATAACAATAAATACACGCGTATTTAGTTATTTCATACAGTATGGTTTAATTCACAGATTTTTTTCTTAAACTGTACGAAGAAAATGGTTTCCATGATAAGCCAGCGACATGCCACTGTGAACAGAACTGCCTTGATGCAGTAGTTACAACAAAAAGTGCTCTGGTAAGTATATATATGGTAGTATGGTAGTTCGTGATGCTGTACAAAAATGTGTTCGTTATTTTAGCCCATGATAGGATCGAAACAGCTACTCGGAAGTATAGGAAGTGCTATTTCTATGAAAACTTGGCCCCAGAATAGGCTTAAGCGACAAGTCATATTTTCCTTTACCGATCTCTTAGGTAAGCACACATCTTTACATTGTACAAATAATATATACATATATATATATGCTTTTTTAGTTTCCATTGGCGGAACTGCAGGACTGTTTCTCGGATTCAGTGTTTTGGGCTTAGCTGAGCTTTTTTACTTTTTTACAATCCGATTAGTTTGGCAAATACTTGGCTATACAATCTAATGTATGTAAATATCTCCAATTTTTTTTTGTAATTTAATTAATTCGAAGCAATGAGCATGAGCGCGATAGCAGATAATTTAAGAAAATTCGGTTACAAGATATTAGAAGTGATGAGTGGTATGTCTTAAAAGCTATTTAAGGCTGCTCATTTATTTCGGTACCTCAATGTATAATTTATTAAATATATGGATACATTGGTATTTTGAAATACACTTGTAACAGTGGGATATCACAAGAGACCGGATACAAAATTTGGATGCTCTAGCTATTATAGTCTTTGAGATCTAGGCACTCATCGGGAGGGACGGACAGACAGACATGGCTATATCGACTCGGCTTGCTGTTGATGCTGATCAAGAATATATACACTCTATGGGGTCGGATATGCTTCCTTTTGGGTGGTAAACACATCCACTTCCACCACAAATCTTATTTACTCCTACACTCTTTAGGTATCGGGAATAAATATGAGTACAGTTTTAAAATAATTCTTGGCCATACAAAATTCGATTAGATTTATTATAAGGAATATAAGTTATTATTGATAAAATTGGGTTGGTAAATATTTGTATTCGATAAAATAATCATTTTTGCAGCTGCATTTTAGATTACCACTAAACTCTGCCTGAGCAAGAGATACAGCAACTCGTACGGTAGTAATCGTAGCTACACAGCTTTCCTTGCGCAGCCCACTTGCAGTTGGGAAGTTTATCGGTACACGTAGATGAAGAGTAATTTTGGTGATGTTCTGAAAAACGGAATTGAAATTTATTGAAAATTTACCTATGTACGAGCATTACTTATTTCAGAAAAATTAAGCGACAATTAATTGTAATGTTATAATGTACCATCACAGTCATTTGTATTGCAGCTGCGAAATATTGGCTCCCTGGCCGCATACCGACATCTGGTTGAGTCCTGTAAGCTATTAAGGGTTGCATTGTATTCCAAGCATCTTACGCTGCGTCGCTGTGTTCCACCATCGCAAGATTTGGTACACTTTAAAATTACACATTAACATAAAATACATTTAATAGTTGTAAAATGTGTTTAAAAATTGCTTTTTACCTGGGACCATTCAGAATAATGCCAGCGAGGAGCGCAGTAAGTAATTTCTCCTTCATCATGAGAGCATTTTTCAAACGATTGCGGTTGTAGCTCCAACTTGCACTTTTTATGATCCACAATTAATTTATTTTGTATGCATAGTACCACTCGAGTTCGTCCAAGGTTAAAGCAATCCCCATTACAAGACGACCAAGGCCCAACAAACCACTCGCCATCTTCACAACTAGGTCTTACGCATGGGCGTCGATTTTCTGGAGTTTTGTTGTGATCACAACGAACCGCACCAACCTCAGATCGATCACAGAATATTGTACGATACTCTACACCTAAACCACACGTAGCAGAACAATACTGATTCCATTCGGAAGTTAACCAGACTGCATTTATGCTACTATTATCAACCATGATACGTTGTCTTCGTGTACTATTCGCGGACCCGGAGTGTGTGTGTAGACGATAACGAGAAGAGTCACGACTTCGATTGTTTGGACACTCACATTGCTTCTGAGTGGGTGGCATCTCTTCCATACATGCAGTGCTATCAACGTGTATAACAGTTCCAGATGCAAGTTCTTGCAGGCAACTTACCTCACGACGTCTAAATGCCCCTTCATGCAGGCAGCGACATTCGCCCCATTTCTCAAAGTGCCAATAGGCGGGGCATGGTTGTGTGTTGCAGTGCAATAAGTTCTCATTGAGCACTGGCTTTACAGAATGAATGCACCGGCGTTGTGAGTAATAACGTAAAAGATTTTCGCGAATGCAACGTACGATAGGTGCTTGTACACCCCCACCGCAGGACTTTGTACAGGCCCTGAACCCTACCACTTTCCAGGTAAAGTTACGTCGTCGCCCTGGACGTGAACTACTTAAAACACTAGCATCCTCCCCTCCAGCTCGTAAAAAACTATTCATATTTTCCACAGAGAGCTCGTTTTCTTCAGAATCAGATATTATTGGAAGCATGTACTCATACTTAATACCAGGATTTCGATTTTTCCCAAATACCTACAAAAATAAATAGAATTAGTTTTATATAATCTGAGATCTAAGATAATAGAATATCAGTACCAAAAGGTCCAATGAGTCCCTTATTGGCCCAGTACTTGTTATCCATTCGGTAACTCCTTCCGAGTTCTGGACTCCATCGATTCGGTGATAGTCAAATGTAGCACCGACCGCTTCATACGATCCGCTTTCCGACACATTACTTTCGCTATTAACTATGCTTTTTTGCTGGGAAGTACGTAAAACTTTCGATCGACAATAATCGGTGCTTATTAGGCCGGTAAAAAAATTGTAAATCACATATAGTTTTACCTAGCAAATTAAGACTATTTCTTAGCTCAGTTATCGATATATTCGAGGCACCAGTTGGAATCGTAGCAACGTGAACCAAGCCATCGTCTGGTTGTGGATCTCGAGTAAAAATTCCTGTTACTGGCCGGCATAACAATCCTCCACAACTAACAGAGCCACTGTGCGCATACGCTCCATTAATGGAACCACTAGCGTTAACGGCCTTAAAAGAAGAAACGATATATCCATTTATAAAAGTTACATTTACATTACAGCTTTTAACAAAACTGACTTTTTCGGATAGATTTGGGGATTTAACATTTTTTATGAAACTTTGGTCCTTTTTTCTAATTTTTACAATTTGGTAATTTTAAATTTTCTTTTCAGAGGCAGTGTCACAGTGCACTATCCCAGGAGCCTTGATATAAAATGTAATTGGTCCAGCTCTTATAGTCTTTAAAAACTAGGCTTGAAACAAGACAGACGGACAGACAGACGGACAACACTACGAAGTATTTCAGCTTTTTAGAATGGAAAGTTCAATACAATCAGATGTGAGAAACTTAGGTTATGTAAAACAGAAAGAATTACAATTCAAAACAAACTATATTTTTTTAATAATTTGTAAAGCCTCAAAGCTATCAGAAAAAGTCGGTTTAATTCGAAGCGTAAATATGGTTTTGGATAGCAGACAAAAATTGATTACATACAAACAAAAAAAATTGTTTCAAGATAATAACTTTTCTAGCTTATCGAACTAATTTTAAGTTTTGTTAATATTTTAGTTTTTATAAAAAAATATAATATTGCATTACTCTGACTTTTCAGACCTTTAAATGAAAAGAAATAAAAAAGTAAGTTGTTACGTTTGCTTCAAAACATTTCGGCAGTCTCATCCAAATTAAAGGCAGTACAGTGCAGAAGTATAAGTACAAAAGAAGAACTTAGCAGAAAATAATTATTGTGACTAAACTAAACAGGTCAAAAGCAAAAACTTTCGGGTATTTCAAAAAGAAAGAATACTTGTGAAGATATTCGCACAAAAATCGCGATTTTCCGAATTGTGTAAAAATTTCAGCTCGATCGGTGCAGAACTCTTCGAGTTTTAGGTCATACATACGGACCAACAAAGCATTTTTATATTATAGACAGTTTGTCTTTTTGCTCAATTATAAATTATGTTTCGCATTTTTTTTGTTTTGTATATCTGCCTCTGTACTGTACTACTTTGTACTGCCATGATTTTTTAAGGAGAAATAACAGGTAGTTTTGTCTAATTACTTGCCAATGGCATCACCAACGAGCCTTTCCAAAAATCTATCACGTCATTCAAATGGTTATTTTTTTTATTTGATAAAATCTTCTATTAGATTATTTGAAATGTTGGAAAAGTAAAATTAAGACTAAAGTACTGAGTCGAGAAAAGTAACAAAAGCTTATTATTTTAAAGGTTATTGATTTCGTTCGGATAAGTGAAATCGACCACTGTGCTTTTCAAAGTTCAACTAATTATATCTTACCAGCCATAATAGAGCTAAGTGCACCAGCATCACAATTTAGTATACAAATATGGAATATTTATTCTCTGAACGCTTTGATGCAAATTAAGATTGATAGCACATTTAATTAAGTAAAAATTCAGGTAACATAACTTTGGCGTTTCTAGTTACATACATATACGAGTATGTACACAGTAGATTTTCGTTTATTTTCTGGACTTAATGAAGAAATCAGGTTTCCAAACTGATTCCTAATAGATGTCTGAAATTGTGTGTATTTTAAGTTGAATAAGTTTTTCTCACAACCAGTTGTATGTGCGCTGTGTGACCTGAAGTGAATATGCATGCGGACACTCTCAGTTTTATAGATTCATACCGTGGGTAACAGACCTTTGTCCGCCTAGTCGAGGCGAAAATAAATCACGATTTTTTTTTAAATATTTAGACAAATACAGATTCGATTTCTCCAAGTGGGTACACATCCCTTAAATACAAAACCCTGCAACACCAAGGCAGGTAACTCATTTTGCTGGACCTTATTGAATCAATCACCTTCGATCAGCTGGTGCAGTGAGAAACGGATCGGATTAAGCAATGAGACAACGATACGATGTTTTCAAGCGCCTTGGCAGATCCCTAGAAACACTTTGCACACTTTGCAGCCTTAACGAGCCTGACGAAGTTTGGAGTCGTATCGATCGCATACATTAGAACTAGCCGATCGTTCAGAAACGATTAGACTTCTTCAATTAATGGTACGGTAATATAATACAAAATTCTCCACATCCAGTGCCGCGTCTTTAGCTTGCATGACAAGGTTTCGGAGATCGATGGCCGTCAAGACTTTGAGCCAAACAGATGTCGTTTCCACACTTAGAAAGGTTTCACACTGTGAAAATATGGACAGTTGTGTTATCCCGACGGATATAACACTGTGCTCATTTGTAGCGCCTGTCCATGTTGCTACCGCTGTTATAGTCTTGACCACGACAGTCGACAAGTGGAATACATATTGTGCTTTTGTATTGGACTACGAATCTGAAGCAAGTTGCTTTAACTGCTTTCCTACCTTTCGACAAAATTCATAATTCGTTATGTGATTTCCCATTTTACCGATTCTTTATTCAGTAATTC